GTGACAACGTTATTTCGAGCAAATGCGGCCGAACTAGCGCATTTGCGGGATTAAGCGAGGAATAGGGAAAAGAAGGTTGAAACTCGGCGGCATGAAACTCGCTCGCTAGATAGATCGTAGAACAGGTGCACAGCGACGACCGGAATGCTGGTATTCCCGGAGAAAAAATATCGCTCGTTTAACACCACGGGGCTCGTTCAGCCCCACGAGGCCGATACGAGACGAATTATTGTGCCGCGCCAATCTACGAGGATTACCCGCGCCCACGAAGGGCCATCCGACAACAACGTTCGACGACTTTACGACGGCGCGGCACACACGTGCACACATACACACACACACACACACACATTCTTCTGGAAACGCATCGACGCACGTCGTTGCATCTTGAGCGTCTCGAGGATTAATCAGCCAGTCACCCGCGCGCGACGAGAATTTTGATTCCAAAAGCTTTCATAATTTCGCGTGCGAGTGAACAATTAGGACGGAAAATTGAGTTTTCGATTGCCGGATTATTTCAGTAAACTGTCCGATCGAATATTGATTGAGAACAAGACGAATCAATTTGACGACGCGCAGATTGTCATTAATGTCTGAGTGCTCAATCAGCAAACCGTAATTATTGTTTGAAAAATTTTTTCAAAATAACGCGCTTCTCATATATTAACTCAATTCGATTATCTGAAACACGACAGTTTTGATTAATGGAACATGTTCAAAGTGAATTTGTATTTTATATCTGAAGCTTGTAACTTGTTAGAGATGAAATAATTATCCATTAAGTGACTATTAAATCAGCACTAAGGCAAAATCAATTTTTCTAATGTTAAATATTCAAACTTTATCCAAGTTAACGTTGTTATAACGGGGGAGACACACTTTGAAAAATTTTCAACTTTCAATTGAGTTGCGAAAGAGTCTCTTCTTCGAACTTTTTAGCACACTTTACAAAAACCGACGGAAAATGCTCTTCTTTTTTATTTAATTGGCACGAAATTCAACTCATCAAGATTTTAACAAAGTTTTAAACATGTAAAAAAATGAGAGATTAAATCAAATTTCTCTCTTTATCGCGTTAAAAAAAAAAAAAAAAAAAAAAAAAAAAAAAAAAACAAAAACAAAAAAAAACAACAATTACAGAAAATGTTATCGTGAAACAAAAGTAATAAAATGAAAACAAAAAAAAACAGAACAAAAAGGGAGCTGCATGTGTTCGAATAAATGACGATTGGATGGGAGCAGCCATTTAATAATGGCGAATCAACGATAGACTCGATGCGCAGAAGTTCCGGCTTGTAATCGGCTCAAACAATTGTTTAACCTTATCGCGCTCCAGTAAATCCCATACAGGGTATGTATACATTGCGTATAACTACTCGGGAGAGAGCGATCAGGATTCCATAAACCAAAACTATCGCGAGCCAATGCCAAATCTCTCTTCGTAACGCATCCTCAACGAATAATGGATTTATGACGCACGCGTTAGGCTTGAAATACGCGCATTACGGATTAACGTCGCTACCATCAAACTACCCGTCTAACTAATGCACAGAGCTCTTTACAATTTGGGAGTGTTCGCATAACGGATTATCATAAATCTGTTAACGTGTAATTTTAATTCCCATTCTCTCTCTCCCTCTCTCTCTCTCTCTCTTTCTCTTTCTCTTTATCTTTTTTGACGCAATACCAAATACACGTCAGAGCTCAAAACAAATCCCATTCTTTTATTACTTTCTATAATGAGAGATTTAATGAGAAAAGATAAAAACTAAAAGATAAAAACATCAGTTGAAGAAATTCTCACGTGACAGATAAGAATTTGAAATGATTTAAGCATTCATACAATTCAGCGTAATTATCAGTGATCGATGCCAATTCAGTGTCACTCGCATTATTATAATTAACGTCCAACGGAGAGAGAAAAAGAGAGAGAGAGAGAGAGAGAGAGAGAGAGAGAGAGAGAGAGAGAGAGAGAGAGA